TCCGAACACCCAGTTTAAATGGTTTTATTTTAATAAAATTTTGTATAAGTACTTAATGAAGCATGATAAGTAAATGATAGCCCTTTGACCTTTAATAATGTGTGGATGCACCCTGATGTGCTACGCATTCTCCAACGCGCCTAGGCATGCTTCTGATCAGGTGGTCAATGTCCTCCTGTGGTATCCCATTCGACGCAACCACCAACTCCTCTCGAAGTGCTTCTAGAGTCTGAGGAGGACGTTGCAAATTGAGCAATCTCCTACCCATCATATCCCACACGTGCTCAATTGGGGATAAGTCGGGAGATCTTGGTGGCCATGGTAACAATGTGACATCATTATGTTGAAAGAAGTCTATTGTGACTCTTGCAACATGTGGTCGGGCATTATCTTGTTGGAAAGTTGGATCTGCCAGGGTGTCAAGATAGGGTAGAAGATGGGGTTCTAGAACTTCGTGGATATAACGCTGTGCGTTCATGTTACCTCTGATGAAGATTAAAGGTGACCTGGAACCATAAGCTATAGCACCCCAAACCATAACTCCAACAGTGTGATGAACATGTCTTTCAACAAAAAACTGTGGATTCCTCCTTTCACCACGTCGCCTTCTAACCCTGGCACGACCATCGTGCATGCCTAAACAAAATCGAGACTCGTCACTAAAGACAATACTGTTCCATTCCTGATCCCAGAGTGACCGTTGTCTGCACCACTCAAGGCGATTACGTCGGTGTTCTCGAGTTAAAGGGAGGACCCAGTGTGGCCGGTATGAAAACAAGCCAAAACTTCTCATTCGTCGGTAAACACTTCGCATGCCAATAGGTCTTCCGTGTTCTGCAAACCATTCATTTGCAATGGACCTGGTAATGGAGAAACGGTCCCTTAAGGCCAATAATCTTAGGCGGCGATCTTCACGGTCTGTTGTTCTACGGCGGCGTCCAGTGCCCCTTGCTCTTTGCGTACGGCCTTCGCGAAGCCATGCCTGACAACACCTAACCACAGTGTCTACACTTCTTTGCATTCTAACTGCAATTGCCCGAAAAGAAAGTCCAGCTTCCCGAAGTCCCACTATACGGCCCCTATCACACTCACTAAGTTGACGAAATCGTACAGGTCTCCGTACTCTAGGCATCGTAACCGATCGTAAAGGATGTCAAGAACTAAAATCCGCCAACGTTGATTCTTTGCTGCGGCTGAAATATTCATTTTGAGAGCGTTAGTGAATTAAAAAAAAGCAGTATGAAAACCGGAATGTCCAACTGATAAGGCTGAAAATTTTTTCACTTGTTATTTACAGTACGATAAATACATTCACCAACTTTTATTAAAATAAAACCATTTAAACTGGGTGTTCGGATTTATATGTCACTTAGTATATAATTTGAGGATTATTTATGTATTGATTAGGTATTTGTTTTGTTATATTCCATGGCCTGCTTCTATTGTCTTTTTTGTATACAGTGCTTTTCAATTCAAAAAATTAAAACTTTTACTTACTCCTTTAGCTATTTTAGAATAAAATTGACAGATGAAAATGTCAAGATGGCCGCTGGGCGCCATCTTGGAAAAAAAATTATATGAAAACGGTGGTCTTATGGCACATCATTTTAAAGCTCCTGATGAGTACTTTATAACCCTAGAATATAAACTCAATACCTTTACCCACTACAAAATGGTGGTACATGTAATAATTACCTGAATACATTGACATTTAACTTGATAATTCGAATAAATACGTTGAGATCAGTTTAGAAGATGCTGGAAATGGTTGCCTGGAACTTTTTGACACAATAACAGCCGGTCCGTAATTTCGCGTCGAACATTTTCAAACATAGTAACATCGATATTTCTACAAATATTTGTTATTTTCAGCCGTATATCCAATATTTCGTACACCTCTTGCTTCAAATAGCTCCATAAAAAAAAGTCTAAAGGTGTCAAATCTGGCGAGCGAGCTGGCCATTCCACAGGACCTCGACGGCCAATCCAACGACCGGGGAACTTGTTATCTAAATCAGGGCTGTCCAAGATACGGCCCGCGGGCCGCATGAGTCCCGTGAACTCCTTTCTTGCGGCCCGCCTCACGGGTCATGTATACACCACATGTATAAATTACTCTCAAATATAGTATAGTATATACCTATGAAAACTCAGTAATAATGTTGTATAGAAAGATTTTATAATGCGGCCCTCCAAACTGCATTTTTTTTTGAAGTGATCCTTGGGCCACATTAAGTTGGGCAGCCCTGATCTAAATAATTCCTAACTTGTTTGTAGTAGTGTGGTGGAGCACCATCTTGCTGGAATACAATATCAGTATCGAATTCATTTTCCAGCTTATCCAAATACAGTTCCCCGGTTAAAGCTTGTTCGATGAATAGAATATAGAATAATATAATTTCCCAACTGTTGATTTGACAATCCTGGTGAAATCCACCCTTAAAGTTGCAGTCACCGACTAGGAATTTCGGTAGTAAATTTTAATTATTTGTAAGCGTTGTTCGTTCGTGTACTTCACCATGATGAACATGCTTCCTTTACTGAATGTTTTGACACTTACAGATTGGTCTTAATTGATTTAGAGGTGCGTTCACAGTGAAAGTTCAAGTTTTCAAGTCCCTCTTCGAAAACCTGATATGTCCAGTAGGAGTTGGAAATATACTAAGTGACATATAAATCCGAACACCCAGTTTAAATGGTTTTATTTTAATAAAAGTTGGCGAATGTATTTAACTTACTGTAAATAACAAGTGAACAAATGTTCAGCCTTATCAGTTGGACATTCCGGTTTTTATACTGCTTTTTTTTAATTCACTAACGCTCTAAAAATGAATATTTCAGCCGCAGTAAAGAATCAACGTTGGCGGATTTTGGTTCTTGACATCCTTTACGATCGGTTACGATGCCTAGAGTACGGAGACCTGTACGATTTCGTCAACTTAGTGAGTTTGATAGGGGCCGTATAGTGGGACTTCGGGAAGCTGGACTTTCTTTTCGGGCAATTGCAGTTAGAGTGCAAAGAAGTGTAGACACTGTGGTTAGGTGTTGTCAGACATGGCTTCGAAAAGGCCGTACGCAAAGAGCAAGGGGCACTGGACGCCGCCGTAGAACAACAGACGGTTAAGGGACCGTTTCTCCACTACCAGGTCCATTGCAAATGAATGGTTTGCAGAACACGGAAGACCTATTGGCATGCGAAGTGTTTACCGACGAATGAGAAGTTTTGGCTTGTTTTCATACCGGCCACACTGGGTCCTCCCTTTAACTCGAGAACACCGACGTAATCGCCTTGAGTGGTGCAGACAACGGTCACTCTGGGATCAGGAATGGAACAGTATTGTCTTTAGTGACGAGTCTCGATTTTGTTTAGGCATGCACGATGGTCGTGCCAGGGTTAGAAGGCGACGTGGTGAAAGGAGGAATCCACAGTTTTTTGTTGAAAGACATGTTCATCACACTGTTAGAGTTATGGTTTGGGGTGCTATAGCTTATGGTTCCAGGTAACCTTTAATCTTCATCAGAGGTAACATGAACGCGTAGCGTTATATCCACGAAGTTCTAGAACCCAATCTTTTACCCTATCTTGACACCCTGGCAGATCCAACTTTCCAACAAGATAATGTCCGACCACATATTGCAAGAGTCACAATAGACTTCTTTCAACATAATCATGTCACATTGTTACCATGGCCACCAAGATCTCCCGACTTATCCCCAATTGAGCACGTGTGGGATATGATGGGTAGGAGATTGCTCAATTTGCAACGTCCTCTCAGACTCTAGAAGCACTTCGAGAGGAGTTGGTGGTTGCCTGGAATGAGATACCACAGGAGGACATTGACCACCTGATCAGAAGCATGCCTAGGCGCGTTGGAGAATGCGTAGCACATCAGGGTGCATCCACACATTATTAAAGGTCAAACGGCTTTAAAGCAGTGCAATCATTTTGAAATTTTTGTCATTTACTTATTATGCTTCATTAAGTACTTATACAAAATTTTATTAAAATAAAACCATTCAAACTGGGTGTTTGGATTTATATGTCACTTAGTATATATTAATATGCTAATATCAAAAAATTGCGATACACCACAATACGTCCCTCGCTTAAGCGCGGGAGCTCAAACCAGTCCTATGAGCCGGTAAACAAATATCTTCCCCAAGAATGGCAGCCTCAAAGGCAGAGCTTGGGGAGGGGAGCGTTTTGTTGACTAAAATTGGGGATGTTTCAAGGGTGCGATCGATACATGACCCTGTTTCGCGCTAGGGGAAATGAAAGAGAATGATGAAGGTTTGCCGGTGCGTCTTACGCACTGATAACGATTATGCAGCGGAATGTGGTTACGTTGCAACGTATTGCATCGAGCCTTATGCAGCGTGATAATCACTTGCAGTGTCTAACTGGGGAGAATGTGTGTCAGAATCGAGAGGGCACTTTTGAGAGGCGGAAGAGGAAGCCGCGTTTGGCGTTGTGTAACTCGCGCCGCGCTGATTAGACAAAATGGCGTCTTAGCGGCGGCTAACGTTGACGCCGGCCCCGCACCGGTAACTCAAAATGCTTCGTGGATGATTATATTTTTCATGCAGATGAAATGCACGAATATAGCGGGTGCTTTTAGAGAAGTAGAAGTTTAAAGTTGAAATCAATAAACGTGACATATAAACGGTGCCATTGCTTACGGCAGCAGGTCACAATTAGTGATCATTCGAGGTAGCGTGACTGCCCAGCGTAATATCCACGAAGTTTTACAACCACACTTACTTCCCTTGTTGGAAACATTGCAAGATCCACTTTTTTAGCAGGACAATGCACAACCTCATGTCGCACGTGTTAGTTTAGACTTTTTAGAAGTCTCCGGAGTAAATCCGCTTCAGTGGTCTCGATCTCCAGCGAATAGAGGAGCTTCAACACATTATTCACATTAAGGTGGCATACGAGGGATGTATTTTAAGTTTTGTATATGGAAATAAAACAACACGGTAGGTAGTTTTAAATGACTTTATTGTTTTTCGAAGTATTCTCCACGAAGATTAATACACATCTGCATGCTTTCGAACCAATTTTCGGAGCACTTATTCCACTCGTTTGCTGGCAGACCCAAAACTGGAACCTTTGACCACGCAGTCTGTTTTTAATTTTCGGGAAAGTAAAGAAATCGTTAGGACTTAGATCGGGACTATATGGAGGATGGTCCAATAATTCCACGTTTTCTTCCGTTAAATACTGCCTTGTTTTTTGGGCTGTGTGCGAGCTTGCATTGTCTTGGTGGAGGATGATTCTTCTATCGGGGTTGATTTTTCGAAGCTCGGTGATAACTTTTGGCAAACAAATGGAGGTATACCAATCCGCAGTAACAGTTCTTTGCTCATTGAGAGGAATTGTTGCAATATGACCTGCTTTTGACACAAATGTCGCGACCATCTTTTTCGAAACACTTCGAGAACGGATGACTCAGTCAACAGGTGAGGTATCCAACGAGAAACTAATTTTCTTACTCCTAATTCTTCATGTAAAATTTTTGAATTGTGCTCTTTGAGATCTTTAAGGACCCCTCAATCTCGCGATATGTCACATGTCTATCTTCAATTATGAGTTTGCGCACAGCATCGACGTTTTCCTGGGTGACTGCCGTTTTTGGTGCTGGTGGGATCGTCGCTAAGACACACCGTCCACGTTTGAATTCTTCATACCAACGGGAAATTGTCGACTGATGTGGCGATTCGTTACTGAAGATAGACAGTAACTCAGCAAGGCATTCTTGTTGCGATAATTGTCTCTGAAAGTTGTTCCATTTTTGAGACCACTGCACGTATTGTTGTGAAACTTTGAATTTAAGTTTACTAAAGAGTGAGGTTAGGATTCAGTACTGACATTCGATCCGTGCGGCCTACTATGTTTCTATATGCAAAACTTAAAATACATAGTCGTGCCATAAGTTCTGTCCCATGATAATCTCATGATAAAAATGAAACAAGATAAGATATATTTATATGAAAGATATTATTTATTCGATAACATTTTTAGAATTCATAATCAAACAGTTTTATTCAAAATGTCCCCCCTTGGCCTTCACACACTGCTTCAATCTCGCGGGCCACTCATCTATCACTGCACGCACAGCTTCCAAAGGAATAGCTGCCGCTGATCGGATCAAATCCGCTTTCAGGGACTTGATATTACGGTGGGCTTTGGAGCAGGCCAACTGCTCTAGCAGGTCCCACAACTTGTAGTCTAAAGGATTGAGGTCCGGACTCCCTGAGGGCCAATCTTCCGCAGCAATGAACTCTGGCACATTGCTTTCCAGCCAGCGCTGCGTACTCTTAGCCTTGTGAGCGGGGGCGGAATCCTGCTGGTAGACCCAGTGTTGGTTGGCAAACAATGTACCACTTAAAGGCTTGACGATAGGATCCAGTATGTCGCTCTGATAGTTTGCCGCTTTTGTTTTCACGCCCTGTTTACAGAAATGGAGCTGAGTGACCCCTTCGTAGGACACCCCCCACCAAACCATGACTGACGCAGGGTGGTGGCCTCTCTCAACTCTCGGAATGATCTCCGAAGCTTCCTGTGAACTCCTTGCATACACTTTGTCATTTTGTCGGTTGAATTTTTCTTCTATGGTGAAGATTTTCTCATCCGTGAACAAAATCTTTCGGAATCCCCCAGCTGCGTACCTCTCCAAGAGCTTCTTGGATCTTGTCGCCCTGATGTGTCGCAAGGTGGCCGTAAGTCGCTGGCCCGTACGTCTCCGGTAAGCCCCTAGCCCTAGGTCTTGTTTAATGATGCGCGACATCGTCCGGACAGGAATCTTCATTTCCCTGGATAGGATCTTCTGCTTCCGGAGTGGATTCCTTTGAATCCTGGCTTTTACGGCTTTGATGGCTGCTGGAGTCCTTACTTGACGAGGTCTTCCGCTTCTTGGCCTGTCATCAACAGAGGACGTCTCATTGTACCGCTGAATGGTCCTAGACACAAATTTACGCGATATTTGAAGGCCGCGTAAGAGTTCAAAAATCTGACTAGCACTGTGATTACACTTATGTAAAGCTATCACTGCAATACGGTTCTCTGCCTTGCCCCACTCCATCGTTATGCTTCGAGAGATCAATACAAACTGAGGTATATGTAATTACCCGAAAAGCGCTTAATCAACTGACACCACAATGTAAACAATCGGACAAGTATTAACAGGTCTACACTTGTTTGAAAACGAGGGACAGAACTTATGGCATGACTACGTACATCCCTCGTATCTCAGCTACTTTGCGAAATTTTGAGTTAAAATTTTGATCACTTTCCATTTATCGGTAAACCTAAAACTTGTAAAACTATGCTCAAAATTATACCACTGCTAGTCGGTCTTGTATTTTCTATGTCAGTTAAGACGTAAAGTTAAGGGAAAGGCAAAGTCCCGATCCAGCAGGGCCGGCCGACAATTTCGCGTCGGTCGTATCCACAGGTTATTGCGAAAAGGGAATTATGCTGAACGCGTCGGTGCCGGAGCTCCCGTATATCTAGTGGCCGCTGAAGTTTTGGAATTGGCAGGCAACGCTGCTCGCGACAATAAAAAGACCCGTATTATTCCATGTCATCTGCAATTGGTCATCAGAAACGACGAAGAATTGAACAAACTGCTTTCAGGCGTCACAATTGCCCAAGGAGGAGTTCTCCCTAATATCCAAGCTGTTCTTTTGCCGAAAAAGACGGAGAAGAAAGCCTAAAAAAAATCTTCTGAACATACAACGTAATTGCACTACTGTGTTAGAATCTGATTTGTTTATAGTCACGGCATCTCATTTTATATACACATCTTAAAGATTCAGTATTAAAAGATAACCAAGTTGCAAAAACGAAGACGTACTGAAAAAAATTAATTAAATCAATTAAAATTTTGGGGTGCAATGTATAAACCGGGCAAGTTCATTTTTTGGAAAAAACGAGTTGGGCTTATATTCTTGCACAGTTTTAAATTCTGGACCTTAAAGTGCATGAATCAGCTCTATAACATTTAAGTTGAGGAATCTGAAGTGTATAGGTTGCCTGCGCTTTTACACTTTGCATAAACAGCTCAAGTCCTCCACTTGACTGGTTTTTGTAGTCTAATACATCACAGATACCCCGAACCCGGACATAGTTTCCTTCGATGCGATAGTAGCTTTGGGGCCATAGAAATACAAAAAAGAAAGCACGACAAAATATATTTGCCGCAAGAGTACTCAAAGATTATTGAAAAAACAAACAAAAACTTAAAAGTCATTCATGTAGCGCGGGATATATTTTTAAATTTCAATAAGAAAAAAAATTAATGTGTTGGGCGACCCCGCAGCTGAATAATATAACAAAAACTAACATAGGTATGCGTAAATAAACGGAATTTACCCACAGAAAAATGAATTCTAGGCATCGACAAAATGAGATGATCGATGTCTGATTGTGGCACCTCATTCTAAGCAACTCGAACTTCGTGGATTAGCTGTGACAGAGTCTGTGGCGGATGGTGCAAAGTGGATAGACTCCTCCTCATCAAATCCCAGACATGTTCGATGAGATTTAAATCCCCCCACGGCAAAACATTAACGCCTGCTTCTCGAAGAAAGTCCGTAGTACGACAAGCAATATGAGGATGTGCGTTGTCCTCCGTTAGGTCGGCTCTCTAGGTACGGCTTAAAGTGGTTTGTACATAACTCGCAGAACATCAGTGAAGGACCCTAGGGACTCCCTGAGCGGTGCCGGCGTGTACAGAATACCATGTTCCTGTGGTAAAGTATACGTAGACACCACTAAACGTAGCTTCCAAACACGCATCAAGGAGCATGAAAGAAACTGTCGACTGGGACAAACTGATAAATCAGCGGTGGCCGAACACGCACTCCAAGACGGCAACAATGTTCTCTTCGACCAAACTGAAGTCCTATCAACATCCACCCACTACTCAGCCCAAATGTACAGAGAAGCAATTGGAATCTACAAACACAATGATAATTTCAATAGAAAAGAAGAAGGCCTTGCTTTAAACAAAACGTGGTTCCCAATTCTAAAAAACACAGCGCAAAAGCCACGTCACTCAAGAGGCCCAGAGTACCCCCACCAGTCAACTCAGTCCTCAGTCCGCCGATCTCCTATAAAACCGCACGCTCATCCAGTTAACCGATCAGTTTCAGCCGACCCGCCAAGCCGAGCACTTCGCTCTCGCCGACAGCGCTACCGAAGATGGCTACCGCAGATGTAGCCGAAAGCGCTGGACGAAATCCAACCGGACCACGGATCAACAGTCCGAAAAACCTAAATTACATTAGAATTAGCCGTGAAAGCCTTCATTCTTCGAAAAAATATATGTTTCTTTAAAGTTTAGTTTTATGTCCAGGATTGAGGTTTCTCATATGTTCACTATTATTTCTAACTTTTTAAGAAGCCGAACTCTAAACATTTTGACCACGTCTTCTGAAAGACATAAGGAAACGACTTAAATATTTTGTTTTATGTCGTGTCAGGATGTTCTTAAAAACACTAAGGACATCTTTTCAATGTCTCAGGTGTTCAGACATTATAAGTAAATAAAATGGAACAAAATGAAACCGCAGCATACATGTTGTATGCGGTAAAGGTTTCCTTTAAGAAATCATCCGGCACCACGGATGTTCGTAAATTTAGTTATTAGACTTTGTGACACAGGATATTTAAAAGAACAACGAGGTCACGCTGGAAGACCTGCTCAACCTCAAATGTAACAAATTGAGGAAGACACTTTAGAAATGGTCGAAGACGACCCAATAATACTAAAGCCATAGCAGCTCAAGTAGAAGTTTCTCGTAGTTAAGTTTGGAAGACATTACGACAAGAACAGTATTATCCTTATCATTGTCAATGGGTACAAGCGTTACAAGCTGAAGAGTTGCATTTTGCCAGTGGCTTTCAAAACAGTTCGGCAGAAATGAAGGTCTTACGAAATTAATTTTGTGTACAGACACATTTATACGAAATGATAATAATAATAAGTTTATTCACGTAACATACAAATATAACTAAAACTAACATAGGTATACGTGAATAAACTGAATTTCACCACAGAAGAATAAATTCTTGTGCATGGGTATTAACTTAAATTTTTACATAAATATACATATACACACATATATATACACACACACGTATACACCTATACACATAAACAGATATACACATATACAGGGTGACTTCGAAGTTGAGTCATTTATTTTAACAGCGAGTAGATCTGATCACAATAATGTTTTTTTCCTTTAACATTTTTCTGGTAAAATTAAAGTAACAAAGTTATAGCCCTCTAGAAGTTTGAGTACCGTCCTGTCTCAATAATAATATTATGTGCTCGTGTTTGGCAACAACGGATATAATCCGCCTTATCGATTCATCGCATCGGACACAAAAAAGCGAAAGAATTTGAAACGCTTATTCAGTTGTATTTAGTCAATGTGTCAGTCGGTAACGCGTGAGTGAAAAGTGGTGTTTGTTGCGTGGCTCAAACGAAATAAAAAATGGCACATGTTTACGAAAATGCTGAACTTGTGGACATGATTCTTATTTACGGGGGGGGAGTCTTTACAAAATGCTGCCGCGGCATCACGAATTTATGAGGATCGGTTTCCCAGTCGAGTGCAACCAACCCCTCGTGCCTTTGTTAATGTAGTACAAAGAGCTCGTGAATCAGGTGACTTAAGACCTCACCGGGGAGGGCATGCCGGTGGTCCAAGACCGCACGATCAAATACAGGTCCGCACTGAAATACTTGTCGGGAGGGTAACATTTTTTTTTAATTTTTTTTTTATTTTTACACACATATTTTGGTTTGTCTTCCCTCTACAATCATTATCTGAAAATTAATGACTCAACTTCAAAGTCACCCTGTATATTCATACAAATAAACACATAAATAGATGCACATATACACACATATACGAGTATATGGACGTTGGAAGGTTTTACTATTACATTAATTTTAAATTTCTTTCATACATGTCATGTTTGCAATTTGATGTCGATGTTTTTCAATTATAAATTTTTTGGTTTCAATTTTGAATTTTGTTTTATTTGAAATATTTCTTATATAATTTGGTAATATGTTATATAATCTACTGGAAAGGTAAGTATGACATCTTTGGCCTATACTTTTTGAGGTGAAAGGTGTTCGCTTAATGTTGTTGATTTTGTTTCTACTTTGATATAAAGTGATCTAACGGAATAAGGTTATTTCTATCGTGAAATTGATAATTTATAATTTTATAAAAAAATGGTTGCCTAGGGTCTAATAGTTTTGCTTCAGAATACAACAGACCAGATGGGTATAAGAGTGGTTTGTTGAAGATTATTTCTAAAAATTGTTTTTGGATAATTTCTAATTTATTAATTTGGTTATCAAGTCCTCCACCCCAACCTAATATTGCGTAACTTATACGACTTTCGATCATAGCATGATATAAAACTTTCATTGTTCTTTTATCCGAATATTTGTTTAGATACTTGAATTTAAGTCTAAGTCTAAATATACACCTAAATATTTCATTTTGTTTGTTAAATTTATTTGAGTATTTATATTATCACAGTCAATCTACGTATATATAGATACAAAGGATGGTAACTTGTTTCTGTGATTTGTGAATGGCATGACCATAGTCTTTTTAATGTTAATAGGTAGGCTTTTATGTCTGAACCAGTCTGCAATTATCGTTAAGTCTCTTTCAACCTTCACTTTTAGATCATCCCAGGAGTTGTTATCCGAATAAATGATAGTAGTATCGTCTGCAAAACATATGATATTAATGTAAAGTGTAAATAATAAGGAGCCTAACACTGTCCCGTGTGGGACACCGTACGATATGAATTTGTTTGTGCTTAAGGAATGATTTATTTGTACGCACTATGTTCTGTTGGAAAGGTAACTTGTCATGAGGTTATAAGCCGCCTTGCCCCTAATTCCTGAGTCGTGTAAGATTTCTAATAGTAACAAGTGGTCTACTGTGTCGAATGCTTTGGCTAGATCTAAAAACACACAGGGTATACTCACTTTGATCGTATACCATCAAGACCTGGACTTTTTTTATTTTTCAAACTGTG